GGTTGACTGTATGGCATCGGTTGGTAGGCAGTTAGTTGGTTAGTATACACCGCCGCTGTTTCCCACAAAGGGGCCGGAGGGGGGACCGTGCCGCCCAGAGATTCACCGCCGCCCTCGGACCGGTCGGATCGATTGGATTCGTCGGCGGGAGGGGGAGGAGACGCCGTTCGGGAGAGGCCGTTTTCGCTACACGTGTCGGGGACATGCGCGCCTGGTAGCCGCTGTGACTTTCTAGTTGGGACCGGTTAGGCATCACACTCGGTCGGATGACTCGATGGCTTGAAACATGTTTGGGATTATGCCCTGGGCCGCACTCCACTGTTGCGGAGTCGCCGCGCACCGACCCACCGACCCACCGGCCCACCTGTGGCCCGGAGTAACCTCCCGGGCACTCGTTGTCGTTCTCAGTCCCCCCTCCCCCCTCCCTGGCGTCCCAGCTCTTCAGCTCCACCGGACCGGTTCCGGAGCCGGTGGTGCGGCCCACGCGGGCGGCAACATCTCGCGGGTCCTCCGTGCCTGGGGGGGTAGGGCAGGGTGGGAGCGGGGAGGGAGGGTGGGAGGGAGGGAAGTAGTGCATGTACGGCACGTAGGAAAAAAGGGTTGAAAAACAGGCACAGATGCGAGGAGAGGGCGTACGGCTTGACAAAGGAGGACGCCGCCGTCACCTATACGCGATGATCGGCCGTTGCTTACGTTATGCGTGCATGTACATGTCTACCTGAATTGTTAAAGGCCTTTTTGAATGGGATGGGATCATCCGTCCAGGTCGCCATGATTGGACTCGGATGATAACGCAGTGACCCGTGGATCGCAGGGCCCGATTTTGCTTAAGAATCGAATTTTTGCTTTGACACCAAACATGCTCATGACCAACACTGCGCCACACAAGAATTCATGGTAAACGTAAAGGGAATTTCCTGTGTTCAGGGAGCTCCCTGTTGACGCGGAAATGGGTAGTCATGATGGCGATGATTGCGGTAAACTGAAACAATGTGAAAGAGGTAAAGTTTTAGGAAAGGCGGAGCAGCTGCCGGGACAACTACAGGGAAAAACGAGGTCGCACCTGATGCGCTGTTAAAGTTGGGCATCGGCGCCTGGCCTTCCGTTGACTCCCCCTCTTGCGAACTGCCGCTTGTGGCGCTGCTGCTGATTGAGTTTTTGCGAGCCGCCGCAGCACATGTACCCAACTGCTGCTGCGCCGGCTGGGCCAGCGCGGACTGCCGCAAAAGCGCTTTGAAGCCCTGGGACAGCTGCATTTTAGTGCGATGGCTTTGCGAAACGCTTATTTAAGGACACTTCTCAAGTCTTTTGTGTAGTAGTCGTGTGCGCCTTCGTGTGTGCCGGATGCTTAGCTTTTAGGACTTCCGGATCAAAGAAACGTATACCGAAGCCTGGTTGTGAAGCAGCGGTGG